GAAAAAGTTCACAAATTTAGAAAATGTTCAAGGCTTGGAAAAGTTTGTAATTTGGAAAAAATCACAAAGTTTTAAAAAATCACCAATTTTTTAAAAGAATTCATAATTAAAAAATTTTTAAAAATTTAAAAAGGTTCATGAATTTGAAAAAAAATAAAAGAAGAAAAAGAAAAAGGAAAATAAAAATGGAAACAAGCAAAACAAGTGCTAGGAAATAATGAAAAAAAAACTGAAACAAACCTAATTCTCTTTTTCTTAAGAAAAACAAAGCAAACGGGAGATTAAATAGGTCGACCTGCTTAAGGAACTGTGCGAGCGTGGAGTGAGCGCCACATACCATTTGTGCTCTATTCGACACTATAGGCGTCAAATAGGATCTGGCGCCAGCATGGAGGGAGGGGGACGGCTGCAGGGGAGGGCGCACATGGCTGCGACCAGGCACGCTGTATCTGTCGCTGGACCGGCAGGATTAAGGCAGCAGCTGGGAGAGGGGCACTCGAGATGCGCTGGGGCTGGAGTCAGGGGGGCGCAGGCGCGTGGGAGCGGTCAGCCCCGTCGCCACCATCCCAGGGCGCGGCGCGGCGCTGCTTCACCAACCGACCCTCCAGTGCCGGCGCAACAGTAGTGGGCTGAGGGGGGTGTTTCCGGTGGCGGCGGCTAGGGTTTTCCCTCGTTGTCGCCACAAGAGGGCGACATGAAGGGGGAGGGGTGTGTTCAACATTGTTGTTTATCCGTTGTGCCCTGTTTGTTGGTGACTTGTTTCTTTGACTTGCATCACCTGAAAAATAATGTTGGGCATATTGTGGGTGGAAGATGCCACATACAAGGCCCCATATCAAACAACAGTTTGGCAAAGAAGAAGATCCCGAGCAGAAAAGGAAGAAGCCAGGAAAGCACTGACCAAAACAAACTTAACACTAACATTGCCATCATCATCACTCGGCCATTAACACTCCACCTAATAGATGGCCAAAACCACGAACTGTCACTCACCGACGCCCACATTAGGACAAAGATAGAGTTAGGAGACTCTTAACATACTATTACAAAGTTCATCCTGGGTAATAAAAGTCGAATGATGTATCCATCCAACTACTGGTTTGGCCGGTTTGGAAATTGCGAAGCGTCTGTCTGCTGGTTTGGCCGGTTACGGCAGTGACCCACCACTCGGGTCCTGCATTTATCAGTCGCTGTCTGTTAGCAGATAAATCTCACCAACTCTATTACTCTTTCTCACATACAACTCGGTTTGCTCATAACCCAGGATTTTCAGTTTAATCAAACTTCTTCACCTCACACCTGATACCCGTTGGCGCCATGGTTCTTTGTACAGCTGACCTTGTGAAAAATTATTTGAGCTCTACACGCGATCCCCAAGTACACGAACATAACCTCCCTCCGCATACTACTAGCAATTCCAACTAGCTGGTCTTCACGTTATCTACTCCCTTGGCTCAACCCCAAGATGCTAGCTTTGCTTTGCCTTTCTGCCCTTGCCTTCCAATGAACCATCCCTTGTGATTTTTCTAATCCGCCAGTTGATTTGCCTGCCTATCTCCGTGTCATAAGTGGAGACCCGGTCTCCTTTTGATTCTTCCAAACAAATCTCACCGCATAGCTCCCGTGTCGCGTGTATCAGCAGCACCTCACACGTATAGACTCCACCAGGCCTTGCCCAAAGCCTCCAAGATAAAACATTCAGTTTAGCTAGATTTCAGCTTAGCTCCCGTGTCCCGTGTATCAGCAGCACCTCACACGTATAGACTGCACCAACCCTCATCACGCGGCTCTCATGTGTTATCTGCTCTGGCAACCTCGCTCTCCGACCATTGCCCGCTGTCTCTTTCGAGTGATCGCGGCCCCAGGCGCCCTCGGAAGTTCAAGTTCGAGAACTATTGGATTAAGCTCCCGGGATTCGGGCAGGTGGTGGCCGACTCCTGGACCAAGTCCACATCACATACGGAGCCTTGCCGAATTTTGGCTGAGAAGTTGCGGCGCACTGGGATGGCGCTGAGAAAATGGAGTAATGGGTTCTTCTCACACACGAAGCTGTAGCTGGCCATGGCCTCGGAGGTTATCCTTAGATTGGACATGGCCATGGATCTCCGTCCGCTGTCGGCGGAAGAGCGTGATCTTAGAATGAGACTCAAGAGACGGGTGATAAGCCTAGCGGTGTTGGAAAGAGCTAGGAAGCGGCAGGCTTCTCGGATTGCGAATCTAAAGGATGGGGACGCGAACACCAGGTTTTTCCACCTCAAGGTTAACGCGAGAAGAAGAAAGAATTTCATCCGCCACCTACGGAATGGAGCCGGTTGGGCTACGGCCCAGGAGGACAAGGAGAGGGTGGCCCAAGAACATTTCTCGGCCATGCTTCACAAGGACGTACGCCCATCGAAGGATTTCAACTGGGACAATTTTGCTTTCAGTCAGTGTGATTTGGCTTCCCTTGCTGAGCCTTTTGAGGAGAAAGAGGTGTTGGATGCCATTGGGGAGATGCCAAAGGACAAGGCGCCGGGTCCGGACGGGTTTACTGGAGCCTTTTTTAAGGCCTGCTGGGACGTTATCAAGGAAGACATGATGGTCGTTGTTAACGGCTTCTCCAACCTTCGCGGAGATCATTTCCAGTGGGTCAACACGGCTAATATAGTGCTTATACCCAAGAAAGATGGTGCAGAGTGCATCTCAGATTTCAGGCCCATTAGCCTCATCCATGCAGTGGCTAAGATTGTGGCGAAAATGATGGCTTCACGTCTTGCTCCTTTTATGCATGTGCTAGTTTCCCACTCCCAGAGTGCCTTCATAAGGACTAGAAGCATCCATGATAACTTCATGTATGTGCGCATCATGGCTAGGCGGATGCACCGGTTGAGGAAGCCTACTCTCTTGTTTAAACTGGACATCAAAAAGGATTTTGACTCCGTGCGGTGGGACTATCTGTTGGAGCTTCTCCGTCGCCGCGGTTTCCCAACCAGATTCAGAGATATGGTTGCTGTCCTATTCGCTCCTCATCCTCCAGAGTTCAAATCAACGGTGTTCCTGGTGGGCCTATTTGGCATGGCAAGGGCCTTCGACAGGGAGATCCGTTCTCACCTCTCCTATTTGTCCTAGCAATTGACCCCATCCAAAGCATCCTTGACACTGCCACACGCAAGGGCAAGCTTCACCAGATAGGCGGGAGGAGCACCCGCATGCGCACCTCCCTATACGCTGACGACGCCGTAATCTTTGTGGCTCCCTTCAAGGAGGACGTTCAACAGTTTACCTCCCTGCTGGAGGGCTTTGGTGAGGTCACCGGCCTTGTGACAAATTTGGAGAAAAGCTTGGTGGCCCCTATTCGCTGTGATGGCCTCAATCTTGACGACATCCTTGAGTGCTTCCCGGCTACTCGCGCTGCCTTCCCGCTGAGATATCTTGGGCTGCCTCTTTCGGTCCATCGTTTGCGGAAGATCGATCTCCAACACCTCCTGGACAAGGCTGCTGGGAAGCTGGTGCCTTGGCAGGGTGGCTCATCACGACTGTGGGAAGGGCTGAGCTCGTCAAGTCCGTGCTTTCCTCCCTGGCCACCTTCCATGCCACGACGCTTAAACTTCCGGAGGGTACTATCTCCGACTTTGTGGGCATTGAGAGAGCTTTCCTCTGGGCTGGTTCGGATAAGGTCTCCGGCGGCCAGTGCAAAGTCAGCTGGAAACTCGTGTGTAGACCAAAGAGGCTTGGTGGGCTGGGTATCCTTGATATTCGTACGTATGCCCGGGCTCTGAGGCTGCGATGGCTTTGGTATGAGTGGAAGGAGCCGCACAGGGCATGGGTGGGCATCGGAAACCCATGCGACATCACTGACAGAGATCTATTCTATGCTGCCATGACGATCTATGTCGGTGACGGTAGGCTGGCACACTTCTGGCTCTCCCCCTGGCTAGATGGAATGAAGCCCAAGGACATTGCACCGGCCATTTTCGCTATATCTGCCAACAAGAACAAGTCTGTGCGAGAAGCCTTGCTTGAAAACCATTGGATACAATGGATCAACATGTCCGGAGGTCTCTCGGTGGAACACATTGAACAGTTCTGCGCCCTTTGGGGGAAGCTCACTACGGTACACCTACAAGACGACATACCCAATGATATCAAGTGGAACCTCACCGCCGATGGTATCTATTCCTCGGCCTCGGCCTATAGGGCCCAATTCGAAGGTGCGATCGCCTCCAACATGACCACGGTGGTATGGAAGAACTAGGCACCGCCCAAGTGCAAGTTCTTTGCGTGGTTAGTTATCAAGGATAGAATTTGGACGGCCGACAGACTGCAAAGAAGAGGGTGGCCCAACTGCAATTTGTGTCAACTTTGCAAGAGGGAGCCAGAGACCGCAGCTCATCTTCTCTTTCAATGCAGGTTCTCTGCCCGCATTTGGAAAGCAATAAGAGTTTGGGTGGATGCCCCCGAACTGGATGTGGCGGCCTGGAGCGGGATCCCCACGGTCAAAGAGTGGTGGTCGGCAGTGGTCCTTAGGCGTGGACATAGGAGGAAGGCGATTTCATCACTCATCATGCTTGTTACTTGGGAAGTGTGGAAAGAGAGAAACGCGAGGGTGTTCCAGCATGTATGTAGGTTGCCAAGCGTGTTGGTCGAGGCTATTAAAGCGGAGGCGAGGCTCTGGATTATCGCAGAGGCGAAGCATTTGGGTTCTTTGATGCCGCGAGAGTAGAATTATATTTTTTTTACATTTGTGTGAGGTGTAATGGCCCTCTGCAGACTTTGTTATTCCCTTTCTTTTTAACGAGATGAGGCAAAGCTTTTGCCTTCGTTTCAAAAAAAAAGAAATGGAAACGGCTCCACTACTTGATGTTGACTTGAACCGGGCCTTGCGTTCGTCGGTCGCCGTCACGGGGTTCCGGTATATCATTGTTGATTCTTCGTCGCCCGCCCGGGCTCCCAATACTGCACTTCACTCGGTGGTTTCCATTCCACCCCTGCCAATCTCATCCAACCAAACCAGTAGCAGCATGGCGGGGCGGCTCCCTGCCGTGCCGGAGGCGAGTACGGACGGCGCCAAAGCTGACCACCCGCCGGTGGTGGGACTCTACCGCGACCGGATCCAGGCCGTCTCCGTGTCCGGCGTGTGGAGAAGATCGATTATCTTCGGTCATGGCGGATCCGGCAGCTCCAGTGCTTCGAATTCTTGCCCCTCCGACAACTCCGGCTACTCCTCCGGTTCAGCTTCCGCCGTTGCGCTGGAGCGCTTCGGCAACCAAGACTTCGGGAGGATTGCTCGCCAAATGGTCAGCGACGGGTACACGGGGCGCATGGTTGAAGAATTCGTCGAGGTATCTCCTGCACCAGCACTCAAATTCGGTGGTAGCCCGGACCATGCCCTGAAAAATTGGTTCTCGGAGCTCGACGTCGACTGGGTTCTCCAAATCCACGACGAGCCAGGCTTACGACAGCTGCTTCGAGACAAGCCGGCGTCAACCCTGCAAGATTTGGTCGAGAGGTGGATTCGGGCTCTTACCGTAATTGTCGCCAATATCACTGAGTTGTTGTTCGCCTTCTACACTACGCCGGCGGTCGTACAGTTTAGCAAAGCGAGCATCACCGAGTTGTTTGATGTCGTGGATGTCATCATCATCGTCCTCGAAGCGGAGAAGCTGCAGGCCGTGCTTGACATGTTTACGTGTGTCTGTCGTGAGTTGTACATCTTAAGCATGTTCAACGATATTATTTTTTCGGCAAAGGTTTTCGACGAGATAGGCGGCCCGTTCCAGAGACAAGCAAAGAGGCTAACAGAGATCACAACAAGCACGATGGAGGAGGTGAGGACACACGTGGAGGAAGATGACTCATGGGCTATCGAGATCCCACGAGGAGGAGGCGAGGTTCACAACAACACTCGGTTCATCATGGATTGCATAGTATCCATGAAGAATGCACACACTTCAATGCGAAACTCTGCACCGCACCACTACTCTGAAAACCTTGGTGGCCTGATCGATGGCACAATCGATTATCTCAAGGCTTTGCTCTTCACAAAATCGGAGTCATGCTCGGATCAAAGCCTCAGGTATCTGTTCCTGGTCAACAATTCCTATTTCATAGCTCGTGTGGTGTTTGAGTCATCAGGATCTTTCATTCCTAAACTGTGGTACCTCACACTTCCGCCTGAATGTAAGAAGTACATGGATAGTTATCTCAATGTTTCTTGGGGACCTGTGCTCTCCTGCTTACCCAAATTGAGATCTCCTGGATTGATCCATCATTTGATCAACACCCCTTCGCTGGCTAAATTCGAGTCGGCATTTCACAAAACGTACCAAGCTCAGAAGTTCTGGAAGGTTCCGGACCCTAAGCTCAGAAATGACCTGCGGAGAGCTATCACCGAGAGAGTCATTTCAGGTTACCGCGACTACCTAGAGGAGCATCCGGAGCTAAAGAAACATGTTGGCCAAGAAAGCAGCAGTCCGGAAGTTCTGGAGGAGATGTTGGGAGAGCTATTTGAAGGCTGAAAACTGCTAGAGGCATCAAACAGAGTCACCCCACAAATCAGATGCTGGAGTGATGTTTCACCCTTGTATTTGGATTCTTTTTTCCCGTTCCTTTTGAGGTGAAGTTGTATTCTGAATCCTGTTGGTGGCTTAATAAGCGCCGGATACTAGGCACCAGCCGCGGTTGTGTTTTTATTTGATTTCCTGATACCATGTCAAATACTTCCACATCTGCTTCTGCATCTCAGTTCTATACCCATGTTTAGTTCTGATTATGCAACATCATATATGCGCTTAGTTCCATACATATATGCACTTAGTTCTATACCCATGTCAGTGCACTTTTATGGGCTGTTTTAAATTTGATTTCCTGATTCCATTTCCATGTCAAAGACTTCCACTTCCACATCTGCTTCTCCGTCAGTTCCGTACATTACCTTTGAGCTGTATATTTTATAATCTCCTAGAGCGAATGTTCAAGCCTTTCTTAACCTTTATAAATATAATACAATAGATTAATTGGACAGACTTAATACCATTTTCAATCCTCTTTCAATCTTGAGCTAAACTGACGATATACGCAACACGTATCGTCGTCATGGATTTCCCAATATCTTTTCAACAGCAAAAACTGAATCAGGAAAACATCAAGACTTTTCCTTCAACAAGCATCAAAACCCTTGATGTTACACAAACCACAACGCAGCTGGATTACACCGTTCATGGCCCGCGGTAATGCCTGACCAACGGTGCACATCTCATTGTAAATCTGTGACGCATTTATAAACCTATATTCTCTATGTAAGATACACAAGTACGGAAGTCTGGCTAATGTCTACATACGAAGAGAAAGGAGAAAAAGGATGGAATACAATATATCACCAAAATTTAGTATGATACTCTACGATGCTCTAGCACGGAGGTACGTACAACCGGTCAATCTTCATTTCCAAGGGACTTCTTGGCAGAATCATTCTGCATCAGCTTCTATTGAGCTCTGCACGGCGTGAGGAGAACGGAGGGTTTCATGCGTTTGACAGGCCTTCATTGTCTTGCAATGCTCCGCCTCATCATCCCGTACATTCACGAATACATCATACAAGTTATCTGCAATGGGTTAAGGGGAGCAGTGAGCAGTTCATCCATACTCATAATCTTTATGGACAAAGCATTAAAGGGGAGAGTCCAGCTTTTTATAGGCGCTATATTATCAGCACAGAGGGTTAAGATCTGAATGGAGAGTCAGCAGATCAAGTAACATCAACTAAAATGAATCATAACTGTGATTTGGTGGGTTTTCTATAATACATGTTCCAGCAAAAGGTGGCAGCTAGCTCACTTTTCCAATGAACTCATGTCTTTTAACAGACTAATCAGTTGAATTAATTCCCAAAGCTACAGGCAACTAGTTAAGCCCTGACATTCTGAAAACCTTAACTCAGTAAAAGTGCCAGGGGGAGAAAGAACTATACCAACTTTAGGCCTCCTAGAATTTGGAGCTCTTGATGTTTGAAACTCATCTGGGAAACAAGCCATGCAAGCAATAAGCATAGATATTAATGTTTAATAGTATGAAGCATAAAATAAATACAGGTTAAGGTACATCTAGAAAAGAACACAAGTGAAGTAAGGGCCTACCAAACATGTAGAGATCCTCATTCATGTAATAGTTTACAGCCACCTCTGGAGCTGGTAGTTTTTTCAACTCCTCTGAAATAAGAACGAGTAGCTGACATTATTACGGAATTGGAAGTGTCATTACAGCAAAGCAAACATGTTTGCATTGGGAGAACACATTAACTGAGTTAGCAGCTTTCCCAGTGCCCAGGTAGGTAGGCACCAAAACTATGATTTAAGCAAACAGCAATCAATGGTTTGTATGATTTAAGCTTTCCATTTTTTGTTAGGATTAGGAAGGGCAGATTTAAATATAGGTTAAAGGATAATGATACAACTTGCAAAATGGATTCGATTACAAAGTTGCAATGATTTGGCCCTCAACCCCTCAGCTCAAAAAATTCTGAACAGAAGGTTAAATACTTCAAATCAAACATGGGAAACAAGAGATAACCAACTTGACTATATAAGCTAATACTCTGTATTCAATAGGCAGGGCGCTCCTATTCCATAAAATCCTAGATAGATACAGAACTTGCACAACAGGAAGAATTTACTTAACCCACTAAAGCTGCCTTACCTCCATTGAGCTTAAGGAACTTGTCATAAGTTGAGTATGCATGCCTCTCAACACATTCTGAAAAGTGGTCTGCACATAGATATCCGAGTTTAGAGCAGCTTTACCATCACAAAAACACAGTAACAAAAAAAGAAACATCTACTTCATGAGTAGAATTAATATGTACACTCACACTAAACCGTGCAAGAAAGCGATCAATCCATACAGAGTTGCCACCCAATGCCTGATATGAACCCAGAGAAGGAAGAAAATAAGAAATATGCAATAACATAATCCAACAGAAAACTACATAGATCAAAAGCTGAAGTTAAGGGCTGAGAAGAAAACAGGATGTATTCATTTTGACATGACACTGACGGAACAGACATATAAAAGATTTTAAACATACCTCCATGATTAAGAGGTGATGGAACTCATTCATGCTTTCAGCAAAGTGCACTTTGATGTTATCAGCTCTTCTCGACCACCCAAAGGTCTCGTACAAGTGAAGCACCGATATAAATGCTGTTAAAAAACAATCAGCCAGTCAACAAAACAGTAACTAAACTGGCATGACAGGACCATACATATGTGCAGGCAAAATTCAGTGACCTGCGTGCAACTGAGAGATGTGTAAGACAAGAGACCCTCACCGAAAAAGGGCACCCTGGCGATGGTGTCGAGCACGAAGAACCGGGCGTAGTCGCGGTCGCGGTACAGAATATCCAGTATCAGGATGACAGTATCCTGCGGTGCGAACACAGCAAACGGCGCGGCGGCGGGAGTGCGGAGAATGGAGGGTTTCATGCGTTTGACAGGCCTTCATCGTTTTCAAATGATCTGCCTCATCGTCTTGTACATTGACGAGTACATCGTACAAGTTATCTGCAATGGGATAAGGGAAGCACTACTCTTCAACTACACCATGGATATGTGTTATGCAGAGGAATTGCTTTTCAGTCAGTAATGATTTGAGGTAGATTCTGTTAAGTTTGAATCCCCCACATTAAGCATGAACCATGAACTCACCTTAAATTTTCAAACAAAAGCAGCAACCGGAAAAGCCTCAGCTAAGCTGCGCCTTTGGGCACCACGAGTAGTAATGTAATATATCGTCCATCACGCGGTTCTGGTAGTTGGTGTTGACCAGCAGACCCAGGTCTTGCGATTGCCTGTCGTCGTCACGCGCTTCAGGGTTCAGGCAAAGTAGTGTTTTTAATCCGGCAGTGGAAGATTTAATCGAGACATTAGCCGCATGCATCAACGGCGAAGCATTCTTGTATAGTTCACTCCCCTGCCAATCTCGCCGAGCTCCATCCACAGAGTAGTAGCCAGCATGGCGGAGGGGCTTGGTTCCGTGCCGGAGGAGAGCGCCACCGGCTTCACGGCTCCCATCCGGCCGGCCAACACCTACCGCGACCGGATCCGGTCAGTCCCCGTGCGCGGAGCGCCCATAAGATGGAATATCTTCCCCCTTTCCCAGTCCGGCCATAACGGATCCAGCTACTCAAGCTCGGGTGCCTCTAATTCCTGCCCATCCAATAACTCCGGCAGCTCCGGCGGAGCCGCTCCGGTGTTCGCCGCCTTAGAGGAGAATGATGTGCTCATGAAGATCGCTCACCAAATGGTCAACGACGAGTACGTCTGGCACATGGTCCAAGCATTCGAGGACGCATCTCCTGCACCAGCACTCAAATTCGGTGGTAGCCCGGACCATGCCCTGAAAAATTGGTTCTCCGAGCTCGACGTCGACTGGGTTCTCCAAATCCACGACGAGCCAGGCTTACGACAGCTGCTTCGAGACAAGCCGGCGTCAACCCTGCAAGATTTGGTCGAGAGGTGGATTCGGGCTCTTATCGTAATTACCGCCAGCATCACCAAGTTGGTATGTGCCTTCCCCCACCGGGCGACGGCGGTCGCGCTGTTTGGCAAAGCGAGCATCACCAAGTTGCTCGACGTCGTGGATGTCATCATCACCGTTCTCGAAACGGAGAAGCTACGCGCCGTGCTTGACATGTTTACCTGTGTCTGTGGTGTGTCGCACATATTTACGCCGGTCCTGATCTCTCCAAAACACCCAAGCGTTTTGAACGAGTTAGGCGGCATGTTAGAAAGGCAAGGAAACAGGCTAAGCGAGGTCATATCAAGCACGATGGAGGAGGTGAGGAAACTCGTGGAGGAAGATGACTCATGGGCTATCGAGATCCTGCGAGGAGGAGGTGAGGTTCACAACAACACTCGGTTCATCATGGATTGCATAGTATCCATGTCGAATGCGTGGACTTCAATGCGTAACTCTGCACCAAGGCACAATATTGCTAACCTTGATAGCCTGATCTATCGCACAATCGATTATCTCAAGGGTCTGCTTTACACAAAATCGGGGTCATGCTCGGATCAAAGCCTCCGGTATCTGTTTCTGCTCAATAATTCATATTTCATAGCTCATGTGTTCTCTCAGTCATCAGGATCTTTCAATCCTCTGATGTCGAACCTCCTGACACTTAAATTGGCACCTGCATCTGAGTGTAGGAAGTACATGGATAGTTATCTCGATGTTTCATGGGGACATGTGCTCTCTTGCATACCAAAATCGAGATTTCCTGGACCCATCCATCGTTGGATCAACACCTCTTCACTGGTGAAATTCGAGTCAGCATTTCACAAAACTTACCAGACTCAGAAGTTGTGGAAGGTTCCGGACCCTGAGCTTAGAGATGCGCTGCGGATGGCTATTACCGAAAGAGTCATTTCAGGTTACCGTGACTACCTGGAGGAGCATCCGGAGCTAGGGAAACACGTTGGCTGCCAAAGCAGCAGTCCTGAAGTTTTGGAGGGGATGTTGGGAGAGCTATTTGAAGGATGAAAACTGCTCGAGGTATGGTCACCGTTGTATTTGCATTCTTTTTTTCCCGTTCCTTTTGAGGTAAAGTTGTATTCTGAATTCCGTTGGCAGCCGAATAAGCGCCAGATACTGTATGAACTGGGCACCAGTTGTGGCTGTTTTAAATTTGATTTCCTGATTCCATTTCCATGTCATACTTCCACATCTGCTTCTGCGTCAGTTCCATAGATAGATAACTTCCATGTTTAATTCTGATTATGCAACATCACATATGCACTTCTTTTTTGTTTAGTTCAATAAAAGTAAAGCTTGCAGATGCCAAGAGCACTGAAACGAAAAAGTAGCCCCGTACTTGAGGAAATTTGGTCACAAAAATTATCTGTACTATTTATATGTGAAAAATCCATTTGCGTTCCTTATACACCTGTAAGAGTACTAATGCTTGTCTTACTATTCTACACCATTCTATATCTAGACCAGCAGAAATAAGCATTGTGGATACATTACCTTTGAGCTATATATTTTATAATCTCCGAGAGCGAATGTTCAAGCCTTTTTTAACCTTAATAAATACTCCCTCCGTTCCTAAATATTTATCTTTTTAGAGATTTCAAATGGACTACCACATACGGATGTATCGAAACTCGTCGTGGTTTTAACCACGACGAGTAAATCGGAACAGAGGGAGTATATAGACATAGTATTTTAAAGTGTAGATTCACTCATTTTGCTCCGTATGTAGTCACTTCTTGAAATCTCTAGAATGACAAATATTTAGGAACGGAGGGAGTATAATACAATAGATTAATTGGACAGACTTAATACCATTTTCAATCTTGAGCTAAACTAACGATATACGCAACACGTATCGTCGTCATGGATTTCCCAATATCTTTTCAACAGCAAAAGCTGAATCAGGAAAACATCAAAGACTTTTCCTTCAACAAGCATCAAAACCCTTGATGTTACACAAACCACAACGCAGCTGGATTACACCGTTCATGGCCCGCGGTAATGCCTGACCAACGGTGCACATCTCTCATTGCAAATCTGTGATGCATTTATAAACCTATATTCTCTATGTAAGATTCACAAGTACGGAAGTCTGGCTAATGTTTACATACGAAAAGAAGGGGGAAAAAGGATGGAATACAATATATCACCAAAATTTAGTATGATACTCTACGATGCTCTAGCACTGAGGTACGTACAACCGGTCAATCTTCATTTCCAAGGGACTTCTTGACAGAATCATTCTGCATCAGCTTCTACTGAGCTCTGCACGGCGTGAGGAGAACGGAGGGTTTCATGCGTTTGACAGGCCTTCATTGTCTTGCAATGCTCCGCCTCATCATCCCGTACATTCACGAATACATCATACAAGTTATCTGCAATGGGTTAAGGGGAGCAGTGAACAGTTCATCCATACTCATAATCTTTATGGACAAAGCATTAAAGGGGAGAGTCCAGCTTTTTTATAGGCGCTATATTATCAGCACAGAGGGTTAAGATCTGAATGGAGAGTCAGCAGATCAAGTAACATCAACTAAAATGAATCATAACTGTGATTTGGTGGGTTTTCTATAATACATGTTCCAGCAAAAGGTGGCAGCTAGCTCACTTTTCCAATGAACTCATGTCTTTTAACAGACTAATCAGTTGAATTAATTCCCAAAGCTACAGGCAACTAGTTAAGCCCTGACATTCTGAAAACCTTAACTCAGTAAAAGTGCCAGGGGGAGAAAGAACTATACCAACTTTAGGCCTCCTAGAATTTGGAGCTCTTGATGTTTGAAACTCATCTGGGAAACAAGCCATGCAAGCAATAAGCATAGATATTAATGTTTAATATAAAGCATAGAATAAATACAGGTTAAAGTACATTTAGAAAAGAACACACGTGAAGTAAGGGCCAACCAAACATGTAGAGATCCTCATTCATGTAATAGTTTACAGCCACCTCTGGAGCTGGTAGTTTTTTCAACTCCTCTGAAATAAGAACGAGTAGCTGACATTATTACGGAACTGGAAGTGTCATTACACCAAAGCAAATATGTTTGGATTGGGAGAACACATTAACTGAGTTAGTAGCTTTCCCAGTGCCCAGGTAGGTAGGCACCAAAACTATGATTTAAGCAAAGAGCAATCAACGGTTTGTACGATTTAAGCTTTCCATTTTTTGGTAGGATTAGGAAGGGCAGATTTAAATATAGGTTAAAGGATAATGATATAAATTGCAAAATGGATTCCATTACAAAGTTACAATGATTTGGCCCTCAACCCCTAAGCTCAATAAATTTTGAACAGAAGGTTGTTCACTTCAAACATGGGAAACAAGAAGTGACCAACTTGTATTCATTAGGCAGGATGCTGTTGTTCCATAAAATCCTAGATACAGAGCACAACAGGAAGAATACTTGGCACACTAAAGTTGCCTTACCTCCATTGAGCTTAAGGAACTTGTCATAAGTTGAGTATGCATGCCTCTCAACACATTCTGAAAAGTGGTCTGCATACAAGATATTCGAGTTCAGAGCAGCTTTATCATGACAAAAACACAGTAACAAAAAAGAAACATCTACTTCATGAGTAGAAGCAATATGTGCACTCACATGCCATTCTTGGGCTCAGCATGTACATGCCAACAGTGACGAAGTAGTAAAAAAAGGCGCTAAACCGCGCAAGAAAGCGATCAATCCATACAGAGTTTCCACCCAATGCCTGACATGAACCAGGATAGGGAAGAAAGTAAGAATGATGCAATAACATAATCCAGCAGAAAACCATATATATCCAGGAGAAAACTACTCCCCCCGTCCATATTAACTGTCACTCAAACATATGGCTAGATGCACCTGTTTGAGCGACAGTTAATATGGGACGGAGGGATATCTAGAACTCAGGTTAAGGGCTCGGATGAAAACAGGATATGATCAGAATTCATTGGGGCATAACATCCAAGGAACACCCTCCGAAAACATCCTAGGAACAGACATGTTAAAAGATTTTGCACATACTTCCATGATTAAGAGGTGATGGAACTCATTCATGCTTTCAGCAAAGTGCACTTTGATATTGTCAGCTCTTCTCGACCAGCCAAAGGTCTCATACAAGTGAAGCACCGATATAAACGCTGTTCAGAATCAATCAGTCAGCTAACAAGACAGTGAGTAAACTTGTACTGTGTGCCAGACCATACCAAACCATATATGTAGAGGCAGAATTCAGTGAGCTGCAGACATGAAGATGAGACCCTCACCGAAATACGGCACCCTGGCGATGGTCTCGAGCACGAAGAACCTTGCGTAGTCCCGGTCGCGGTACAGAATATCGAGTATAAAGATGACAGTATCCTGCAGACACACCGAACGTTCAGGCCGAGAGTGAAATCTGAGCCCAAATCAACCAGGAATCTGGGCAGGAGTCAGTCACTCACCGTGAGGAATATGTTGAAGGACTGCTCGAACCTGACCACCCAGTCGCCGTCCTCGCCGGCGAGGGTGAGCTCGTCGTCGAATCCCCCTTCCTCCTCCGGGGCAGGCGTGGCGGCCGCCTCCCTGACGGGGAAGGAGTCCTCGACGGCGGACACCTCGGCCTCCTGCTGCTCCTTCTCCTGCCGCGTCCTCGCCGTCGCCTCCGCGCGGATCCTCCTCCCCCTCCTGCGCAGACACGAAATCAACGGGGCGAGCAGAGAGAGCGGAACGGCGAGGAGGGAGCGGGGGATCGGGTCGAGCGGGTTACCCGGAGGCGAGGACGACCGGATTGAGGCGGATGCCGCGGGCGCGGGGAGGGAGCGGGAGGAAGGCCGGCGGGGTGCGCGCGGCGGCGGCGGGGGCGGGGCTGCGGGCGAGCGCGGCCCGGAGCGGCGCCGCGGAGGCGGCCATGGCGGTGTTGGAGTGGATATTCGCCCGGGGTCTGGGGGATGTGGCAGTG